CTTTTACAGAATCGTTGTTTTTTTTTTTTTTTTTTTTTTTTTTTTTAGCCATTTTTTGCTTGCAGTCAGTAGTGAGTTACTATTTTTTATCACTTTTTGACGATATTTGAGTTTATGCATTCTTATTAGAAGGTTTATTTCCTGTTCTTGTTAGTAGTCACCAATACACACTTTTGGAGACGTTCAAAAGGGTAAGATTTTCAGCACTTAAATTTCAGAGCTGTGCAAAGATTTTAAAGGGCTGAGAGTGAGCCAGGACATGAATACCCTTCTCCGAGACGAGGTGTGGGGTCCTTTCTGTGCATTCATCCTGTGGGACAGTATGGACCCAAAGCAGAGCCCTTTTTTTTTTGTTTTTGACTCATGGCTACTGGTGGTACCCACTTGTGCTATCGCTGTACAGAGATAAACCAGCAGGATACACCCTCTGCTCTCGTCCTTCTCTCTCTCTGCACCCCTCTTACCCTGTGAGGTGGAAAGGGAGGAGGACAGTGGGCCAGCTGTGGGCAGCACATCTTGACTTTCTGTTACCAGCAGGTCTCTCGAGCGATCAGCCGTGTGCACATGTGCTTTTTGGGGTCTTTTTGGGGTCTTTTTGGCAGCCCCCAGAGAGCTGCTTTTTCACGTGTGGCACCCTGGCTGTAACCTTCTGCTGTGGCCTGAGCAGCAGGAGCGTGTCCTGCTGCGCGACTGGCCGTTTCAATCTATTGTGTTCCGATGCTCGGACTCTTGGGGCAGTCTGAAGACATGGGTTTCTTCTCCTGCCCTGGGCCTTCTGTAGCCCACAGGGATGTACAGAAACTCAGCTGAGCTGACGCCTGATGGCATTTTATGGGCAGTAGATTACAGCCAGGGACAACAATCGAATTGCCAAACCACTTTGCTTAAAAGTAGCGTGGCCTGTGTGTCCCCATCCCGACTGGTGCAGTGAGCTTGGCAAGCTGTGAGAGACTCATGGACAGCTTCAGCATTGGCTGAGAACCCATCACCTGCAGTGGTACAGGGCACATCCAGAATCACCACAGGGGTCTCTTGAAGTGCTTTCCCTAGTGAAACGTGGAGACTGTCTGGCTCAGATTGATGCCTGGGAAGGAGGGAGATGGCAATGGAAGGGCAGGGAGCAACCAGGGGAGTCTTTCTTCCCCGTCATGCTGGGTGACCTGTGGATAGACCTGGATAACGTTGCTGGTTTGAACGGCAGAAAGGTTCTTGCTTCCTTCATTTGTTTTGGTGGGACACACATTGCCGGGTTGGCCATATGCCTTGTCTTTGATGGAGCTCAAATCCTGCAGCTGGCTGCTGCCACCGCTTGTGGTGGTGGGGAGTTGAAGGAGATGTAGATGGCAGCAGATGCTTCCTCCTGAGGAAGGACTCGGACCAGGCTCTGGGGTGTGTTTGCCTGGGAGGTGGAGCAGAATCTCCCAAACCTGTGGGCTTGGTTTGGTGGGCAGTGACTGGCTGCTCTGCTACATGACCTCCATTGCTGAGAGCTCTGTCTTAGGATTGGGGAGGTTTTGTAGGACTTTAGTTTTTTGGCTGACTTTGCCCGTGTGGGTGAGCGCCTTGGTGTGCGGGAGGCAGGATGGAGACAGCAGGAACAATCTGAAATGCTGTGTACGGGTGTGACACGCAGTTTGCTGTGGGAATGGTCTCTCGGGCTTGACATTGGACAATATTCATCTCCTTTGAGGACCCTCAAGCAAGCTTGCAACGTGCTGCCCTTCCTGAATAACAATTCTCAGCCCGGTCAAGGTGCTGTTGGTGCAGAGTGGCAAAAACAAAACGGGGTTTAGTCGCCAGCAGGGATAACGAGTTATTTTTCCTAATGGCAGTAATCTTTCTGTTCGCAGGAGAGCTCCGACACATCACCAAGCTGAAGCCTTGGAGTCTCTTTGATGTGCTTGTGGAGAAGTATGGTTGGCCTCACGAAGATGCTGCACAGTTTACAGATTTCCTGATCCCCATGCTCGAGATGGTCCCGGAGAAACGCGCTTCAGCTGGAGAATGCCTGAGGCATCCCTGGCTCAATTCTTAGCAGAGTCTCCCAGCTGTTAAAAAAAAGAGAAAAAAAAGAAAAAAAAAAAATGCATCGGACCTAAACGGTGACTGTCACAAATTCTTTAGCAGGATCACACGCGAGCTGGCTTCAATCCTCAGACCTTTGTTTTGCTTGAGGTACTGTTTGACATTTTGCTTTTTGTGCACTGTGTTCTTGGGGAAGGGTAGTCTTTTCGTCTTCGGCTGGTAGTTTACTCACCCACTTTCTTCAGAAAAAAAACAAACAAACAAACACTTACCGTGTCTTTAAGCATTGTTTCTTGTGTTGTGTGGCATTCAGATGTCAGATTTTTGAACAAAGGAAACTTCCCCCCCCATGTGTTTTGGCAAGTTTTGTAACTATTTATGAAAAAAAAATAATAATATTTTAGCTGATGCATATTATATAATTTACAAGCATAAGAAATTTATCAAGTGAGAGCTGAGTTACGGTGAGGAATTGTACAATTTTATCTTCTGGCAAAGGGACGTCATTCTTGTATTATAGTGTATGTAAATGCACCCTGTAAATGTTTATTTCCATTTAAATATGGGACCGGGGACTCAATTTCAGAGTAAAGCGACTAAGTTTTAGAGAGCTTTATAGCAAACCAATTGCATGTAGTGGACTTTAAACTGCTTTAAGGAATTGTGTAAACTTTCTATTCTGTAGCAGTTCCCGTTCATTGGATTTTAAACAAAGTGGCTCTGGTTTACAGGATTTCATTCCCCAAACGGCACTTTAAAGGAAGGCTAGACTTCTTTCTAATAAAGTATGCATTATCATTTAGCACTCCCTTTTAGAACTTTTGCCTATTTTAAGTGCTTTTAAGAAAAAGAAAAATAGCAATTTTCCCTTACAATGTGATAGTGAAGACATGGTACCACATGGTGTTGCCTTTTTATAAGCACTGTAAGTTGTACTATACCTTAAGGAAAAAAAAAAAAAAATTAAATAATTAAAAGTCGAGCATGAGAACCACTCTCTGTGTAGAATTTACTGATCTTTTATAATAAAAGTGTGCGCTTGGAATCAGTTAAGGAAGGACAGAGCTGCCGATATTGACAGCGCAGTGGGTAAGGTGACGCGAGGAAGCCAGATCATGCTCATTCCATTCCCAGCTTTACACGTTTCTAAAAGGAATTGCACTAGCTTTATTTTTTCCTGTAACAGCCATACAGCCCCGTGTGAGCTGCACGCAAGGAGGACCTGTTTCCTAGGAAAAACAAAACAGACAAAAAAAAGCTGCATAGGCTGAAGCTTATAGGCAATACAGAGTTTAGAATGTACAGCCCGGAGGTGTGTTTGGGCCTCTTTTAGAAGTCAGTGGGATGAATGTAAGCTTTCTTCTGACCTTCATGTAACGACGGTGCCACTTTTTTCTTGACTTTGTCCATATGAAATTTATTCACATGCCTTTGCAATAACTAGATTGTGAGAAGGTAGCCCCATGCTGTAACAATAACCAGTTGTTTGAGGTGCTTGCAGTTGTCTAATTAAAGTGTTTTGTTTTTTCAGACTGTGCTGGTCATTGGACTCTTTGCTAGCCACGGCTCCAACCCCTTCTTTGCTGGGGGGGGGAATTGGGAGGGGGTTGTTTAGCCTGGCCACAGCCCAGAGCAGCTTTGTGTGTTCATTGATAGATGTGTCACTCCTGAAGGGTGTGGTGGCAGGAGGGGGCTGGGGGGAAGCAGTTGTGAAGTGAAACATGGACAAAACCAAGTATTTGGTAGGAGGTGTTTAATGCTCTGAACAAGCAAAGCTGCTCCTCCATAAAGAGACGCCAAGGCCACCGCAGGAGAAACTCCTCAGGGGCCGAGGCCCTGCCAGCAGTGGGGCTTCAGGACGGGGTCCCCTCTGCCTCTGCACCCCCAACTCCTCGCACCGGAACCGCTTCTAACGGCTGTGGGGACCACACTGCCCAGAAGGTCGAGGTGACAACGGACTCCAGAGCTAGAGGTAAAAAAGATGGTGTCTGGCTTCACACCCAGCCAGCCCCGGGTAGCACCCGGTCGCTGCAGGAATCGGCAGCTTGTTCTAGATCCACAGGGAGCAGCAGCCCTCGAGTGTGGTGCCGCTTCCAAGACCACAAGAAGGGGAGTAAGTAAAGGCCACAGCTGGGGGGGGGCCTGTGGAGCTGCTGGGATGACCTCCCTCATGGAGGAAAGGAAGGGGGTCAGAAGCAAAGGCCGGGCTACAGAGGGGCTGCAGGTGTTTTTCCGAATCCGTGTCTGAGCAGGTGACTGGGGGGTGGGGGGTTCCCTGCCATTGCCGGCCTAATCCTGTTGGGCTGCTACAGCACAGCATTGTGTTCCCCCCCAATCCTGCGCTGGGCAGAGCCAGCAGTTGCTCAGGAGAGCATTTTTTTGCTAATGAAATTTTTCGATAATTTACAGGCACATTAGAATTTGAAGTAGCCCCAATTTGTTTTCCACATCTTTAAAAAGAATTACCAGGATTTTTCGGTGAGCAGGAACAGCCCCTTCCCATCCTGTCCCCCAGGCCAGGTTTTCTGCTCGGGTTCCAAGGTGGAGCCATGGAGCAGTGTCCCTGTCACCACTGCCAGGTGAGGACACCCTCACATGCCCCATAGGAACAAACCCCTTCCTTACAATGAAGAATTCGATGCAGGGAGGAGGGGGCAGTTGAGCTGAATTTTAAACTCTCTGGGAAGCTGAGGGGCTCAGCCCCACACTCTGCACCCTCAGGGGGGCCTCAACGTCCAGCTGAGGGGGGGGAAAGGGAAATGGGCTGTAGCCCAGGTCAGGGTGACAGGGCTGACACAGGTACACAAATAGTCCTTGTACCACAGCACTGACCCCCAGTTAACCCACCAGTTCCCAGACACCAGACCCTGCAGTATTGGGGTGCTCCTCCTTGGCCTCCAGCACAGGCAGGGGACAGGCACTTGCCAGACCTGGAGCTGCTGCCCTGAAGACACACCACCCTTCCAGGACAAGGAGTTAAAACTGACATAGTTGTGATTTATTAACATGAATTAAAATGCCCAACCAGTGCTGCAATGTGACAGTATATTAAAAAAAAAAAAATTAAAGATCATATACTGTACTACTTTCACAAAGATCACACTTTTTTTTTTTTTGCAAAAGAGACTTATTATATACAATACTATATCAAATGAAAGAAGCTTTAAGCAATTTTACAAGCAAAAGAAATACAGTATTTACAGCACTCGTCAGAGACATTAGAAACAGTCTATACATTAAATTACATTTTCTGCAAATAACTGATGAAACAAAAAGCCATGTCCACACCAAAACTATAAAAATTTGTATTGCATCGTTTTCTAGCTCTATGCACACGAACTGTTGACAGAAGAAAATGAAAAAAAAAATAATTGTTAGTGCCATCACTTAGCCTGTGTACTTATTTAATTACATATGTATAAAAGTAATATAGAAAACATTCACTAAATGAATTTTAACTGCAACAATAAAATTTTAAAGATTATGCAGCATCAAACCTACTGCCAGAAAAAACAGCTGGAATGTTCACTTACAAAATAAAAAGAAATACCTAATACTGGCTTAACAGCACGTTTTCAGGAATTTTTAAAAAGCAAAAAATGGAAAGGATACAATGAAAGAGCACTGGTGTTTCGCTTTTATACAAAGTATCATGTACAAGCTTTAAAAAGTACCTTGAACAGGTACATATGAAATATACACAGTCTATATTACAGAACATTTTAAAAATGTTGAGAATTAAGGGGACGCGTTTTAATGCCACCCTGACCCATGGTAATTGTTCTGAAAAGTGGGCGGCACCTGTGCTCTGTGGATGGGGATCTGTCCGGGCACCGGGGAGGCCTGCTGCGGCCCCTGCACCGCGTGGGGGAGGCTGACGGAGCCGGGGTGGGGGCAGAACCCCGGGGCGGGGGGGGGGGCAATG